AGACATCCAACGGCTGAGCGCCTCATCCCTCGAATAACACTATTTGAGGGATCCCTCAACCAAAGGGGACTGTATATATATATATATATATATATATATTGTTTAATTAAGAGTTGGTTTAATCCTTGGATTTTGTGTTGTTGATCCAAGTCCTCTTATTTTAATGCCACATAAGATTACATTCTTTTTTTAATTTTATGATATAATCATATATATATTTATTCTTTTAAAATTTATGTTTCTATTCCAATTATGCCCCTATGATTTAAATTGAGGAAGACTTATTTATATCATAATAATTAGCTAATTAATACATCTATTAACTCTTATTGAAATTCATAAACGGATATGAAATTAATTTTAGGCCAATAATTACTATATTTGACGTTTTAAATACTTATTATTTGTATTTATAAAATATTTGTATTTATTCTTACGTATTCATTTGAATTTTGAAAATCCTATAAACATGCGCTGCTAAAAAAAAAAACAATTCCTATAAACGTGCTCTTTGGTGTAATGTTGATGTTATTCTATGGGTTTTCTTTGTCTTTCTCATTCATCTTCTTCATATTCTTCTTTATTTTCAGAATCCTGAGAGTTATTTCTTTGTAGGTGAAACTGAATAAACCTCATACATGCATGGGTAAGAAATCTCACATAACAGTGACCTACAAATGAGGTAAATAAATCTTTATGTGACCTACAAATGAGGTAAATAAATCTAACCAAAGGCATATGATGTTTAATTACCTATGTTGCAGATACCTAAGTTTACCCTATTGTGTAGGTAAAGTAACGTATGTATGTTTTTATGCTCTTGACTTGGTGGATCGTAGGTGTTTTAGTTTACGCACATGAGTTGTAGGTAACAATTTTTACTTTTATTCACTCTATGGTAAATGTATATTATATACTATTTCATATATATATATATATATATATATATTATCCTATGGTGTATGTATATTGTTTTGTTGCCTATTACATAAGTATATATGTGTTTTTTCCTTCATATTTTTTACAATGTATAATAGTATTTTATGTACCTTTTATTATAGGTAAATTACAATTTTATTTGTCTATTTTGTATCTGACTTATAAGTAGTCTTCTAATTTATGTTCCTAACTTATAGGTAACATGATTTATAACTAAGTTTTTTTCGTTGTTATAATAACATTATTTACCCGTATGTTAGGTACATAATTTCATGTGGATGCTTGTCTTACTTTCATTGATTAACAATTGTATTTTATCCATATATTAGGTAAATATTATAAAGGAAAGAATTCATAAATTTAATTACAAGGAAATAATGCATTAAATTTAGATTTCAATGTGTTTTCCTTATTTACCTCGAAGGGTAAAATTGACATAATAAAAATAGCAATAAAAGTCGAAGGATCTACATCTAAAACCGAAAACGCATAGACTAAACCCAATAACAACTAATCATTTTGAACCTAGAGCTAACAACCCCAATTTTTTAACATCCTTTAATTACAACTAAGCTATAAATAAAATAAAATAAAATAAAATAAAAAAGTGGACCCGCACTTTCCACGTCATCACTTAACAGAAAACCAAATGGTCAAATTGATGGAATGTGTAAATTGGTCAAATTTTAAAACGTTAGGTCGTAAATTGACAAAATTAATAACCCTTGGCCCATTTCAAGAATGACCTCAAAACTTGAGGGGGTAAAATAACGTTAGCCTAAGATTATATATAGAAATTTAGGGAGAACAAAGATTGCTAAGTGTTGACATGTCATATTGCGAAGCCTATAAAATGATGTCACGTGATCAATGGGTTGGACATTTCTATATGCCGACCCGACCCGATTCAATTCTCAGATCAGCCGATTTGACCACCCTCTAAAGGACCCTGGCACCGAATCTGGTCGGCTGAGTGGTGTCCACCCACGATCAGAACCACCCGAGCCGCACACTTAGTGACTCTTTCCCACTTCCTCTCCATTGAACAAATGAGGGGTAAATCGAGGACAGTTGGTGAATCCAATGCAGATCGCCTCCCTAAGCAGCCTAGCTCACAGATATGTTAGAGCATGACTTAAAAGAGCATTTAATACACTTCCAGGTGTCACTTAACCACTAGTCCCTTGATAATCAGTGTAGTAAACAACGCCTACAGTCACCCTCTCACTGGTTCCCTGAGAGGCTAGCTGAAGATGTTCCTCAAGCTAGACTCAAGGAGATGTGCTCCTTCTTCATCTCCTATAAATATCCTTCACTTACACTCAAACAAAGGTAATAACTCTTTACTCCCTTAAACACCACTTATTTCACTCCTTATTTAGGGATCGACAACTAAAACAAAACAACAAAAAACACTCTTGGCTTCAGTTTGTTTATGTTTCTCCAAATGGGCAGGTGCTGAAATCAGGGAATCTGCTTGCTTGAGTATATGTTTCTTAGTTTAATTGTGTGTAACAAAATAAAAAATAATGTTAGTTTCTTTCAAGTTCTACTTTTTCAGCTTGATTATTTGTTATTTGGTATTTGAGAGGAAGTAGTAAATTTTCACTAAAATTGTCAAAGGTTACAAACTCGAGCGAACAAACGTGGCTTCATTAAAACCTTGCTCAGAAAAACCCAGTGGAACAAAACCTGAGACAAAGGAAAAAGAGTGTCACATGTTCCATAAAGGCTACAAACAAAAACTCATGGAAAATCCAGAATATCAGCGTCAGCTTGAAGAAACACATTGAGCTATGGAGGACCCTATTCAAGCCAAATGTCTCTGGACAAACTACCAAAAGCAAACTTAGCAAGTCTATCAACCACAATATTACACAATTTGGGAACGAAGACGAAAGAAAGAGAATACAAATTTCTAGATAAAATGTGGATGTCGTTGATAATCCCTCTTGCAAGTTGCAACCCCAAAAGCCTCATTACCAGAGACGATGTCGTTAATGGAAATCTTCGCATCTGTCTCAAACACTAATGAATCATAACCAGCCTCCCGTGCAAACTAAAAGCCTTCTCGAATTGCTAAGAGTTCAGTAATCTTGGATGAGAAACATCCAGTGATAAAGAGTGAAATAGCACCCATAAGATCTCCATGCACATTACAACTACCCCTAATAAACGCTTCTAAACAGAATTACTACAAGCACTATCCACATTCAGTTTCAACTTATCAGAAGGGGGATGATACCATTGAGTAGAGGAGGAAGAATGAGTACGCACAGGAGCAGTGTTTGTGGAGATAAATTCAACTTAAAGACAATGGGCAGTAGCATACAAGTCATTAGGGTCACGTCCCTTCTGGCCATGCATTCGTGCATTTTGATCAAGCCAAATAAGCCAAGAAAGGTAAGCGAAAATCTCCAGGTCAAACTTCAAGCCCACTGTAATTACATGGCACCAAAGATCTACGAAAGTAGGTTAATGCCAAATATTGATCACGTCACTAAGAAAAGAAAATTTCGAAGTCCTTTTCACCTCACGACAGCATAATAAAGCATGAATAATGGTTTCCTGAGGTCCATGGTAACGAGGGCAGCAACTATCATCTCCAGTATGTCTATGCGTAAGAGCCCAACGATAAGGTAAGGCGTTTTGTAATGCTCGATGGATAAAGCTTAACTTTATTAGGAACTCTTAGTCTCCAAACTTATTTCCACATTGAACTAGAAATTCCTGCTCCACTACCTTGACCAACATTAGAACTAATAATATTCATACCAACATCTCTTGAATGGTGTAGAGCAATCCAATAGCCACTACGAACTGAATATTGACCATTATAAGTATAGTGCCATAGAACTTTGTGGCATTGAGACGAAAGCACAATAGGGATGGATAAAATAACTTTATCATCTTTATCCAAGAAATGTGCCCTTATATGTTGAATGTCCCAAAAAACCAGCACTAATTAATTCACAGACATGTGTATTTAATGGAAGAGATGGTGGGGAAATAGTTTCAAAAGTGGTAGGAGTAGACAACCATTTATCAAAATAAACAAAAATATTACTATCGTCTTCTATTATGGAAGTATTTAGCCTTTAGAACTTGAATAAATCAAAGCATGAGGCTGTGTTAAATTTCTCCTCGCCATCCGAGCAAGAAGAGCTTGATTGAAAATAGAGAAATCACCAAAGCTAAGTCACCCCATCCTCATTTGATCGACAAAGAACATCCCACTTGAGCCAATGAACACCACGATTATTTCCCATTCTTCCCCACCAGAACTTGCTAATCATACTTTGAAGCTTCTTGGTTAGAGATAGGGGCAGTTTAAAAATACTCATTGTATAAGTTGGGAGAGCTTGTGCGACTGTTTTGATTAAGACTTCTTTTCCTGCAATTTGACAGAATATTTCCTTTCCATTCCTGAAGAAGTTTTCCAACTCTGTTGCGTAGGTTGACAAACCTTTTTAGCTCATCCAACAACCATTGGTAATCCAAGGTATTTATCGTGAAATTAGACTATTGGACTGCCAAGGATCTGCTGCATATCACTTTGGAGTTTATTATCACAATTAGGACCAAACGCCATAGCAAATTTTTCAAAATTGATTCGTTGCCTTGTTGCCTTTTCATAGGTTGTAAGCAAATCTTTCAATGACTGACAACTAGCAAAAGATGCATGTAGAAATAAAAGGCTACAATCTGCGAAGAAAAGATGGGAGATTGGGGAAGTGTGTGTTGCTGCTTTAACTCCTTTAATAAGACCCAAATTTTATGCATGTTTTAAAAGGGAAGAAAACCCTTCAATACAAATTAAAAACAAATAAGGAGAGAGCGGGTCACCTTGTTGGATGCCTCTAGAGGGAATGATATGGCCAGCTGGTTGCCCATTACAAATAACAGAATAAGTAACTGTTTTCACACTCCATAATCAAATCCACCCAACGAGTTGCAAAGCCAAGATTTTCCATAATTTTTCAAAGGAAATTCCACACAACTCGATCATATGCCTTACTGACATCACGCTTCACAAGAACTTTTGGCTCCTTAACTCGTCTTTATGTTTTGACTGAATGCATAAGCTCAAAAGCAAGAGTGGCATTATTAATGACATTATCAGGCAAAATGATCTTCAAATGATTAGCTAGAGTCTTTGCAACAATTTTGTAGATGACGTTATATAGACTTATAGGTTGGAAATCCTTCACATTCTTTGCATTCTTTATCTTCGGAATCAGTGCCGCCAAAGTATGTTTAAACTCCTTAATACTCTTGCCATTATTCAAGATCTGCAAACAAACAAAAGCAATATCTTCCCCAATAATATCCCAGTATTTTTGGAAAAATAAAGCGGGCAAGCCATCTGAACCAGGGGCTTTCAAAGGTCTCATTTGGGAAAGTGCGTGACTAATTTCTGACAAATCAAAAGGACGAGTAAGCCGAGCATCCATCTCAGACGTTATCTTGGTTTCAACAACATCCATAATATTAGCTACATCCATGGGCATTCATCAGACCAGCATTTGTTGTCATTAAGGACCCCATAAACACTACTACAAAAAGTGACAAAGACGACCAGAAAAAAACGACGGTCTAAGTGAAAACCGTCGTTGTTTTTTAAAAGACGACGGTTTTATAAAACCGCAGTGTAATAACACCTTAGACAACTAAAAAATGGATATTCAAATGGCTGTTCCTAAAACACGACGTACCTAATTAAAAAACCGACGTCTTATTGAAATAGGATTTCCAAGTGGTAAAATCATAGCCAACAAATAACGGCGGAAGTTATGAACCGACCGAGGTAGAAAGTAAAGACGACGATTTCAAAAAAAGCCGCCGTTTTTACCCAAAATTAACACGACCAAGTTTTCGTATAAGGCGCCGTATAATTACAAATAAATCCACGGCGGTAAAATACAAAATACCGCCGTATTAAATTAATGTACAACTACGGCCAAGATAAATATAACGACGTCTTTCTCGTATTTCTACGACGATATCTTTAAATCTCACCAAGTTGGGGTTTTCATTTAACGACGTATTATACAATTTAACGTCGTATTTATCAACTTTATACGTCATACATTATATTTAAACCGTCGTCTGAATAAGAATTTTTTTAACAATTTATTTCTTGAATTTTGTTATCCTACGTCGGTAGATCTACTTAATGACAAGAATTGAAATAACCACGACGGTTTATATAGAAAACCGCCGACATAATCAGATTTTTCTGAGATCACAAGGGTTAGGAAATCTTACAAGATGGAACTCTGTTGCTCATCATAATCTTACCAGAAAGACAATATTTTAGAGGTTAATGATGTATGTGTATTTGTGTCTTTGAGATACACAAACGCACATACACATTAACATCCAAAAAATTGCTTCTGAAATTTGACGACGGCAGCCTCAGATTTGCAATCAGAGAGACAATTTTTTGGAAGTGGATGATGTGTGTGCGTTTGTGTATCTACACAAACGCACACACACATCAACATCCAAACAATTGCCTCCTAAAACTTCACGACGGCAGCCACAGATTTGCAATCAGAGAGACAATTTTTTGAAAATTGGTGATGTGTGTATGTTTGTGAATCACACACAAACCAACATTCAAACAATTGCCTCCTAAGAGATGAGGTGAGACAGAGAAAGGGGCAAGAAGAAGTTGAAACCCTAATCGAAAACTAAAACTGAAAGCAACCGTGGAAAAAAAACCCTATTTATAATTAAAAAACCAAATCCACGTCGGTTATATTACACATAACGACGTTTAAAAAAATAATCCACGTCGATTAACAAATACATTACGTCGTCTTAGTCTTACTTAAGACGACAAGAAAAAACGACGGTATAACAAAAAACAGTCGTTTTTATATTCGTATTTGATTTAAATCAGCCACCCAGAAAAGAAACTTTACAAATTCTAAAACATTAATTTCCTCGGGAAAAAAAACTCTATTTATAAGGCACTATTTTTGAAAAATAAACTGAAAGAATAAGGGAAAAAAAATTATATTTATAATTATAAAAATAAAATCCACGTCGGTTATATTACACATAACGACGTTTGAAAAACGGATCCACGTCGCGAAAAAAATATTGCGTCGTTTTAGTTTAAAAAGACGACGGTATAACAACAAACAGTCGTTGTTTTTATATTGGTATTTGATTTAAATTAGTCCCCCAGAAAAGAAACTTTACAAATTCTAGAACATTAATTTCCTCGGGAAAAAAAACTCTATTTATAAGGCACTGTTTTTGAAAAATAAACTGAAAGAACAAGGGAAAAAAAATTATATTTATAATTATAAAAATAAAATCCACGTCGGTTATATTTCACATAACGACGTTTTAAAAACGAATCCACGTCGCGAAAAAAATAATGCGTCGTTTTAACTTAAAAAAGACGACGGTATAACAACAAATAGTCGTTGTTTTAATATTCGTGTTTGATTTAAATCAGTCACCCAAAAAAGAAACTTTACAAATTCTAGAACATTAATTTCCTCGGGAAAAAAAACTCTATTTATAAGGCACTGTTTTTGAAAAATAAAGTAAAAAAACAAGGGAAAAAAATTATATTTATAATTATAAAAATAAAATCCACGTCGGTTATATTACACATAAGACGTTTTAAAACGAATCCACGTCGCAAAAAATATTGCGTCGTGTTAGTTTAAAAAAGACGACGATATAACAGAAAACCGTCGTTGTTTCAATTTCTTTAACCGTTCTCTTTCTGCAGGACTTGGCTAGTTCAAAGCATTGACAGCAGAAGCCATCTGATTCGATTGCTCATGCTTTAGAGGCCATCTGAAGCCATTTCTATTCTTTATCGCATTGTTGAAAACCCATCTTCTTCTTCAGAAGCTTTACGGATAACCCATCTTCTTCACTAATGCCGATAACCCATCTTCTTCTATCACAAACCTGACGGATCTTCTTAGCCAAGAAAATCGAACAGAGGCTGACATCTGATCTTCAGGTTTCCCTGATAAGCGAACTTTCCTTCGACAGCGAGTGGAGGCCAGGCTTGCATCTCTTTAGATGGAAAGCAAGGAGTATTCAGAAGCACTAAGTCTCCTATCAGGATTGACAAGCTTCCTCTTGTGGACATAGATTTGTTGGAGAGTAAGCTCCATTTCTGTTTGAGAAAGACATCCAAATTATTGTCTTCGAGATATGAGAGAGAGTGTCTGTGAGAGAGGAAGAACTTGGAAACCTAAATGAAAACTGAAACTGAAAGAAAGCGACAAATTTATACAATAAATTTTTAAAACCTACGGCGGTCCTTACACAAAACTGCCGTCTATTTATAAATTCCACGTCGGTATATTAAAAAAAACAACGTATATTATAAAAATAAACGTCGGTAAATTACAAAACATCGTCGTGTTAAATACTTCTACTATGACGCGAGATATTGATTTATTGACTTTTATTTAGGAGTTTACTATGGCGGTACCTACAACACTACTGTCGTATTTATTTACCACGTCCTAAGTTCAAATTATCGTCGTAGTTTGTCTATTTATACGTCGTCGTTCTATGTAAACCGCCATCTTATTACTATGAAACGGTTTGTATATACATACAACTTTTCGTCTACCTGACTTACACATGCACTGTTTCCAAACCCGAGAAAAAATTTCAATCTCCCAGAGAAAACTTTTCGTCTTTTTCCTTGTCAGAGTATCTCATCGTCTTCCTCTCGTCTTCGTCTTCGTCGTCGTCTCTTAACTTAAATACCAAACTCCGAGAGAAAGCTTTCATTGCACGCAAAAGGTAAGCTTTCATTTCTCACTATTTTTGTTGCTATTTTGCATGCTCATACGGTTTTTGTTTTGAAAATCTTTTTACCTTTTTTCTGGCGAAAATCATTTTTATGCTTTCCAAGTTTGATAAAATACACAGACAAAGAGGGAAAGTTTCCAACTTTGAACACAACTACTTCAACTAAATTAGACAACGGTAGCTTCTTATTTACGTGGTTAAATATGTAGACCACGACGGTTCGTCAGTCGTCCTAGCGTCGTCTTAAAATTGATCTAAGTTGTTTTTAAAATGACGGTCGATTTTTATTTGCTTGTTTAATTGCAGGTTTGATTTCTCTGAACCATGGTTTTCGTTTTTCCTAATTTGATAAAATACAAAGACAAAGAAAGTAGGGTTTGGTATCTTATATAGACGACGGTATCTTATTATTGACGCCGTGTGAATGTTCATACCACGACGTTATACTAAGATACCGTCGTCTATAAAAGATGCCAAACCTTTCTTTCTTTTTCTTTGTATTTTATCAAATTAGGAAAAACAAAAACCATGTTTCAGAGAAATTAAACCTGCAATCAAACATTCACAGAGAAAGAAAAAGGTTTTTGGATTCTTATAAAGACGACGGTATCTTATTATTTACGTCGTGTGAATATCCATAAAACGACGTTATATTAATATTTACGTCGTGTGAATTTGAATATCACGACGTTGTGTAAATATCGCCGTAATAAGATCTTATTATGTCTTCTTTAATATTGTTTCGTCGTTGTTTAAGTACTCTCGTTTAAAACATTTATTACGTCTTATGTTATGTTATTACGTCGTGTAAAATCTTATCATATGTCGTATTTTATAAATAACCGTCGTTTGTGTTCTTATTTTTTTCCTGAAATATTTTCACTTGCAGGTTTGTTTTTTCTGTAACCATGGTTTCTCAAGACCAAAGTAAGGACTCTGGCTCCAAAAAAAATGGAGGTAAGGAGCTTGGAATGGTAACTCCTCAAGACAAGCCCTTGAAGAAGATGAAGTTTGTTTCATCTGCTGAGACAGAACCAACCAGCACGACAACAATTTCTGAGGATTCAAAGTCAGGTCGAGGTATAAGCACAATGCCTCGTGTTGTGAAGAGAAAATTGCAGAAAATCAAGCCAGTTGTTGAGTACAATAAAAGGGGGAAAGGATGTGGCCCTGCACATACTGAGATGCAGTCCTACATTGGTGTGTTGGCACGCTCCAGAGTCCCACTTGTGGACAAGAAATGGGCTGAAATCCCCAAGGATATCTTGGAGAATACGGAGGAAGTCCTACCTTATATCGAGTACGTATGAGTTTTATTCTTTAAGTTTCCATTTTAAATTATTTCTTATGTTTATCTTATATGTTTGGGACCGTAATACTTGAATTTTTTGTGTCATGTAGGCAACATATGATCCACATTAAGACCGCTTATCTAAAATTTAGAAAGAGAACAAAGTGGCTGCAAGATAAGCACAATAGCACTTTCATTCAATGGCTACGCTTCAAGGTATATGTTATTGAATAACATATTGGACTTTTAATTTTCTTCTTTCTATGTTAGATTGAATTAAGTTATGATTAATTTGCAGGTTCAAAGTGAACTTAATGAGGAAGACAATCATGGCGTATCAGAAAATTTAAGGTGGCTAGCAGCTGGTCCAAACATGGCAGTGCCATTATATAGGAGCTATCTTATTAAAGGTATTAAATTCAACATCAAGGCACAAGATGATGTGCGGACAACTCAAAATAGTGGAGTTTATTTACTTGCACATACTATGCAAGTTGCTAGTGCCAAGGATAAAAACCCAATTCTCTCAAATATGGGTTTCTATGGTGTCATTCAAGAAATTTGGGACCTTGACTACCAAAAGTTTACAATCCCAGTCTTTAGGTGTGATTGGATAGATAATACTTCTGGTCTTGTAGTGGACGAACTTGGATTTACCCTTGTAGATTTGAGTAAAATTGGACATAGGAATGACCAATTTGTTTTGGCTTCTCAAGTCAAACAAGTATTTTTGTTGACGACCCGATGCATCGTGGTTGGTCGGTAGTGTTATCAATGCCTAATAGAGAATATAATGATGTTATTGGTGATGATGTCTTAGGTGATGTGAGAATTGAGTGTGAGCCATTTACTAGAGGGATGCCAAATGTTGACACATTTGATGAAGTGGTGGTTGAGTTAGGGAGTCAAAATATTCGAGATGGGTGTGAAGATATATGGGTTGAATGATGCTTTATGTAATTGGCAGTGTATGACATTAATTTTGTAATATATTGTAATGTGATTTCTTCACTTTCATTATACAGGTTTTGGCCACAAAACAATCAGTACAAAAATTACTGGTTCCAGATTACAAACACGACGGTTTTTGATAAAAATGTGAAAAACAAACGTCTGTTCTAATAAATAACGACGTTTTGGAGCATTCAACGACCGCAATATATTTACCGACGTCTTAAAGCAACGTAACAATGAAGAACCACGACGCTATTGTGAAACAGTTATCCAGGATAACACGTCGGACAAGCATAAAGAACCGCCATGTAATTCAAAATAACACGACTCCAATCCCATAATACCGACGTCTTAAAGACGAGATCTTTAACCTGAACGTTACAAAAGACAACGTCGTCATGAATTTACCACGTCGCATGTTCTTTCATAAACGAAGTGGAAAAGGATGAATTCACGACGGTATTTGAAGTCCATTAAATTTGTCGACGTTAAGATATATGAATTAGACGACGTTAATTTTTTTAATGAAGACATAGAAACTATTAAACACGGCGGTCTTTTTCATGGTAACGACGTTGTATATAGACTACAACGTCGTCTTTATAAATTAATGTGTCGTAATTAATGACCCCATCATTTTTTCCACGTCGTTTATTTTCAGATCATGTCGTTAAAATTATTTTACACGGCAGTGGAATTAGAAACGATGCCGTTTCAGAGTCATTACACAACGATTATATTTCAAAATATGACGTATAAATTCTGTAATACGGCTCTCATTTATTTGGAACCGACGTTGTTTATTCATTTCAACGTCGTCTCTGTAAATACATGCGTCGTAAGTAATGACCCTGACATCTATTTCCACGTCATAATTCATAGAAAAATCGAAGTGGAAAATTTATTTTACGACGATTGTTGGAAATGATGTGACGTAGTAGGTGTCAATAACGTCGTCTATTATGATTGTAAAGACGTCATATTTCTATTTGTCGTTAAAGATTTATTTAACGGCGTTAAGTTTTAGTTCTCGTCATTGTATGATTATCTTGCGGCCATGTTCTGTTAATATATGTCATATGTTTCCTTTTTAACGACGGTTTTTTGTTGGAGTTGGTCATCTATTCTCATCCTCGATTGTTTTTTTATGTCTTTTTGCAGTACAAAGACGTCGGTTTTTATTTTTTGATGACGTTTTTTGTTTTAACAACGACGGTTATTCACCGTCGTTGTTTTGTTATGGAAAAGACGTCGGTGGATTCCACGACCATTTGAAAACAGAATACACGACGGTGAATTCCCGTCGTGTTTTTCCTTTTTTGTAGTAGTGAAATTTTGTTAAATGTCAAAGAATCAACCCCCAAAATCAGGTCATGATTTAAATCTCCTTGAATGGCCTCATTACATAATTTACTCCTCTTATGATGGTCAGCCTTAATGGAGCCATTATTCTCATTAATGGTGCCCTACCGTAACTTATCTCCTTCATCTTCATCTTCTTCTCGGCACTGGACTTCGTCGGCAAGGCCCAACTCATTTGAGCTTGGTGCTTTCATCACCCATTCAGGTACATATAACCATTCTTTGACCTTGGCTCTAAGCCATGAACCAAATTTTTGAAATCCCCATGGTTAATAACAGAATCCCAAAGCGAACACTGATTCAAAACATTATCACAAATGCCACACATTAACAATAATTTTGAAGCTTTTCATATTTAATCAAAATAAGATAACTCCAAACCTCTAGGAAAGTAAAACACAAACATCGTTTCAGGGGTTGAGTAACATCAATGATAACCTTAATTTTCATAAAACTTCCCAAACAAGTACCTCCTCTCCCAGAATCAGTCTCAATAAACCTCCCCAAGATATCACCAATGAGTTGCCCAGTACTCCTCTCCATAAATGCTAGAGGGACACCCTTGACTCTAACCCAAAAAGGTTGTGTAGTGAGGGGAACTAGATGGCGGTTTTCTAAACCATTAGTTTCACCCAAGATCAAAAGAGGATTCTCAAAAGTCCAAGGTCTACCTTTGACCACACAATTTCTGTCACTTTTTGACAATGACATAAAATAAAACAAAAATCACCCATGCTCCAACTGGCAGATCTTTACACAAGCTCTTAGTGTCCAAAGCTTCTTCATAGTCCTCATAAAGAATTGTACCTTAAGGGCATGTTTGGTATGCCTCATTGTGCCTCACTGGATTGGACTGTGTTAAATAACACTTGAAACCTATGTTTGGCAAGAAGGATGATTAACTTAAATGAGACTCTATAGTCCAACAATTAAAAAAAACCCGGACTCATGTGTCTAATATAAAGAGCCCGAAATTGGGTTTTTAAAAAATAGCGAGCGTGTTATTTTGAACACGCGAGTCCGATGGATTTCCTTATGGCTTGAATCAAAACCACACCGCCGCAGACGCAATCGACGGACTGTAGCAGAACCCAACGCCCAGCGCTCCCCCCAAATTTCTTCTTTGGATGAAGAACCCTACAGGACCTCTGCAACAACAGTAGCTGCCTCTGCATCAGAAACAGAGGCCTCTCTCACTCTCTTCAGTATTTCCAATTTAAAAGCTCTTTTCTCATTGGACTGCAAACCCACCTCCAATCTCTACACACCCATAAGCTTCTTGATCAGGTCCTCTTCAAGCATTAAACCAATCACTTCCTCTCTGTCCAAAAATGCAATTTCAAGAATGCAATTCATGGTTGCCATTTTAGTTGACAAGTCTTTAGAGCCCAGAAGGCTGATAATTCTTGGGATTTCTCCATTGATGTCATCAACCAGAACCAGAGGGGTTCTGTTAGAATATACGGATTGTATTGATTGATTGATAGGCAGTAATCTTGTATTTACTCTATATAGCCCTTTGATTGTAGAATCATATTACCTTGATTGTAGGATCGAGAATATATGCAACTTTACTACTTACCTTGTTCAGCCTTGCTTAGGCATTATATTAGCTTGTACTTTGTGAATGAATGACATAACAAAATCTGGAGTTTTCTCCTCAAACTCTCGTTGCCTAGCCTCTCTATTTTTTCATGGTATCAGAGCACCGATCTCGGTTACTCTTATATCTTCATTACCTTCTACAACCTCTAGAACATGGCTAGCGACGAAGAAACACTGAAACCCACATGCCATAAGCCTAAATATCAAAACACAGAGACCAACGATGTATCTAATCCCTTTTATATACATCATTCAGACCAAACTGGTCTAACACTTGTCACTCGACTCTTGGATGGTGACAATTATGCAACTTTGAGTCTTGCAATGATAATGACTTTAGAGGCAAAGAACAAACTTGGCTTTGTGGATGGGATGATCAAAGCACCAACCACAACCAGCGCCAAATACCCCATCTGGAGGAGATGTAACCAGATGATCAAGTCTTGGATCCTCAACTCCATCAGCCCCTCTTTGGCCAACACCGTCATCTATGCAAATACAACTGCTGAGGTTTGGTTAGATCTCAAAGAACTCTTCTCTCAAGGGAATATTTCCATGATTTTCCAAATTAAACAAGATATTTCCAAACTTCAACAACATCAGCAGTCCATATCCGTGTATTGCAACACGCTGAAAGGTCTTTGGGATGAGTTAGGATCATATGCTCACATGCCATCATGTAAGTGTGACCCAATGTGTAATTGTGGAGTCCTAAAGGAACTCACTGACAGAGAACAACAAGAGTGAGTTCTTCAATTCCTTATGGGCCTGAATGAAACTTACTCTGCAGTTCGCACACATATCCTACTAATGTCACTCTTGCCTATTGAGCGTAAGGTATATGGGATGCTTGTACAAGAAGAAAAACAAAGGCAAATAGTTGAAAGTAGGGAGAATAATTCTTCTCATGCAATGAATGTATCGAGAAACACCAATAAGCAGCCTCGCCCAGTGCAAGGCGAAGATAACAAAAACCTCCACTGCACATACTGTGATGGCGACGCTCATACCATGGATCTATGTTACTATCTTCATGGATTTCCAACCTAGCACAAGTTGCATGGAAAGGCAATCAAGCCACCAAGTAGAAACAAGCATGCAGCCAATAATACCAATAAGGAGGGAGCCAAGACATCTGCTGCCAAGACCCCTGAAGATTTAAAATTTACAACTAATGAAGTATGCCAAATCAAGGCAATCCTTCGAGGTGATGGTAAAAACCAAGCATCTACAAACGCCACAGGTATGACTAAACCTCAGTGCTATACCTTTGCCACTGATCATCCAGATTACTGGATCATTGATAGCGGTGCAAGTGATCATATTACTTTTTCATCCAAATTAATCCCAGAAAAATCCTCACCTTTTAATTCCTCGATCACCATGCCAAATGGAACACAAGCAAAAATCACTTGTGTTGGCACTACTACAAAAAGTGAAAAACACGACCAGAAAAACACGACGGTCTAAGTGAAAACCGCCATTGTTTTCTAAAAGACGACGGTTTTATAAAACCGCCGTGTAATAACACTTTAGACAACTAAAAAATGGAGTTTCAAATGGTTGTTCCTAAAACACGACGTACTTAATTAAAAAACCGACGTCTTATTGAAATAAGATTTTCAAGTGGTAAAATCATAGCCAACAAATAACGGCGGAAGTTATGAACCGACCGACGTAGAAAGTAAAGACGACGATTTCAAAAAAAGCCGCGTTTTTACCCAGAAATTAACACGACCAAGTTTTCGTATAAGGCGCCGTATAATTACAAATAAATCCACGGCGGTAAAATACAAAATACCGCCGTATTAAATTAATGTACAACTACGGCAAAGGTAAATATAACGACGTCTTTCTCGTATTTCTACGACGATATCTTTAAATCTTACCAAGTTGGGGTTTTCATTTAACGACGTATTATACAATTTAACGTCGTATTTGTCCACTTTATACGTCATACATTATATTTAAACCGTCGTCTGAATAAGAATTTTTTTAACAATTTATTTCTTGGATTTTGTTATCCTACGTCGGTAGATCTACTTAATGACAAGAATTGAAATAACCACGACGGTTTATATAGAAAACCGCCGACATAATCAGATTATTCTGAGATCACAAAGGTTAGGAAATCTTACAAGATGGAACTCTGTTGCTCATCATAATCTTACCAGAAAGACAATATTTTAGAGGTTAATGATGTATGTGTATTTGTGTCTTTGAGATACACAAACGCACATACACATTAACATCCAAAAAATTGCTTCTGAAATTTGACGACGGCAGCCTCAGATTTGCAATCAGAGAGACAATTTTTTGGAAGTGAATGATGTGTGTGCGTTTGTGTATCTACACAAACGCACACACACATCCATATCCAAACAATTGCCTCCTAAAACTTCACGACGGCAGCCACAGATTTGCAATCAGAGAGACAATTTATTGAAAATTGGTGATGTGTGTATGTTTGTAAATCAGATACACAAACATACACACAAACCAACATTCAAACAATTGCCTCCCAAGAGATGAGGTGAGACAGAGAAAGGGGCAAGAAGAAGTTGAAACCCTAATCGAATACTAAAACTGAAAGAACCCGTGAAAAAAAAACCCTATTTATAATTAAAAAACCAAATCCACGTCGGTTATATTACACATAATGACGTTTAACAAAAATAATCCACGTCGGTAAACAAATATATTACGTCGTTTTAGTCTTACTTAAGACGACAAGAAAAGACAACGGTATAACAAAAAACAGTCGTTGTTTTTATATTTTTATTTGATTTAAATCAGTCACCCAGAAAAGAAACTTTACAAATTCTAGAACATTAATTTCCTCGGGAAAAAAAACTCTATTTATAAGGCACTGTTTTTGAAAAATAAACTGAAAGAAAAAGGAAAAAAAAATTATATTTATAATTAAAAATTAAAATCCACGTCAGTTATATTACACATAACGACGTTTAAAAACGAATCCACGTCGCGAAAAAAATATTGCGTCGTTTTAGTTTAAAAAAAACGACGGTATAACAACAAACAGTCGTTGTTTTTATATTGGTATTTGATTTAAATCAGTCCCCCAGAAAAGAAACTTTACAAATTCTAGAACTTTAATTTCCTCAGGAAAAAAAATCTATTTATAAGGCACTGTTTTTGAAAAATAAACTGAAAGAACAGGGGAAAAAAAATTATATTCATAATTATAAAAATAAAATCCACGTCGGTTATATTACACATAACGACGTTTAAAAACGAATCCACGTCACGAAAAAATATTGCGTCGTTTTAAATTAAAAAAAGACGACGATATAACAACAAACAGTCGTTGTTTTTATATTCGTATTTGATTTAAATCAGTCACCCAGAAAAGAAACTTTACAAATTCTAGAACATTAATTTCCTCGGGAAAAAAAACTCTATTTATAAGAAACTGTTTTTGAAAAATAAACTGAAAGAACAAGGGAAAAAAAATTCTATTTATAATTATAAAAATACAATCCACGTCGGTTATATTACACATTAGACGTTTTAAAAATGAATACACGTCGCGAAAAAAAATATTACGTCGTCTTAGTTTACAAAAAGACGTCGGTAGAATCCACGTCGTCTTAGTCTACTCTTTATCGCATTCTTGAAAACCCATCTTCTTCTTCAGAAGCTCTACGGATAACCCATCTTCTTCACTAATGCCGATAAACCATCTTCTTCTATCACAAACCTGACGGATCTTCTTAGCCAAGAAAATCGAGTAGAGGCTGACATCTGATCTTCAGGTTTCTCTAAGAAGCGAACTTTCCTTCGACAGCAAGTGGAGGCCAGGCTTGCATCTCATTTTATGGATTGACAAGCTTCCTCTTGTGGACATAGATTTGTTGGAGAAAGACATCCAAATTATTGTCTTCGAGATGTGAGAGAGAGTGTCTTTGAGAGAGGAAGAACTTGGAAACCTAAATGAAAACAGAAACTGAAAGAAAGCAACAAATTTATACAATAAATTTTTTAAACACATGGCGGTCCTTACACAAAACCGCCATCTATTTACAAAATTCCACGTCGGTATATTACAATAAAACGACGTATATTATAAAAATAAACGTCGTAAATTAAAAAAAACCGTCGTCTTAAATATTTCTACCATGACGCGAGATATTGAGTTATCGACTTTTATTTAGGAGTTTACTACGGCGGTTCCTACAACACTACTGTCGTATTTATTTACCACGTCCTAAGTTCAAATTATCGTCGTAGTTTGTCTATTAATACGTCGTCATTCTATGTAAACCGCCGTCTTATTACTATGAAACGGTTTTGTATATATATACAACTTTTCGTCTACCTGACTTATACATGCACTGTTTCCAAACCCGAGAAAAAATTCCAATCTCCCAGAGAAAACTTTTCGTCTTTTTTCCTTGTAAGAGTATCTCATCGTCTTCCTCTCGTCTTCGTCGTCGTCTCTAAACTTAAACACCAAACTCCGAGAGAAAGCTTTCATTGCACGCAAAAGGTAAGCTTTCATTTCTCACTATTTTTGTTGCTATTTTGCATGCTCATACGGTTTTTGTTTTGAAAATCTTTTTACCTTTTTTCTGGCGAAAATCATTTTTATTCTTTCCAAGTTTGATAAAATACACAGACAGAGAGGGAAAGTTTCCAACTTTGAACACAACTAATTCAACTAAATAAGACGACGATAGCTTCTTATTTACGTGGTTAAATATGTAGACCACGACGGTTCGTCAGTCGTCCTAGCGTCGTCTTAAAATTGATCTAAGTTGTTTTTAAAATGACAGTCAATTTTTTATTTGCTTGTTTAGTTGCAGGTTTGATTTCTCTGAACCATTGTTTTCGTTTTTCCTAATTTGATAAAATACAAAGACAAACAAAGTAGGGTTTGGTATCTTATATAGACGACGGTATCTTATTATTGACGTCGTGTGAATGTTCATACCATGACGTTATACTAAGATACCGTCGTCTATAAAAGATGCCAAACCTTTCTTTCTTTTTCTTTGTATTTTATCAAATTAGGAAAAACAAAAACCATGTTTCAAAGAAATTAAACCTGCAATCAAACATTCACAGAGAAAGAAAAATATTTTTGGTTTCTTATAAATACGACGGTAGCTTATTATTCACGTCGTGTGAATATCCATAACACGACATATTATTATTTACGTCGTGTTAATTTGAATATCACGACGTTGTGTAAATATCGTCGTACTAAGTTCTTATTACGTTTTATTTAATATTGTTTCGTCGTTGTTTAAACATTTATATTTTTTCTTCTTTAAATATTTATTACGTTTGATGTTATGTTATTACGTCGTGTAAAATCTTATCATACGTCGTATTTTATAAATAACCGTCGTTTGTGTTCTAATTTTTTTCCTGAAATATTTTCACTTGCAGGTTTGTTTTTTCTGTAACCATGGTTTCTCAAGACCAAAGTAAGGACTCTGGCTCCAAAAAAAATGGAGGTAAGGAGCTTGGAATGGTAACTCCTCAAGACAAGCCCTTGAAGAAGATGAAGTTTGTTTCATCTGCTGAGACAGAACCAACCAGCACGACAACAATTTCTGAGGATTCAAAGTCAGGTCGAGGTATGAGCACAATGCCTCGTGTTGTGAAGAGAAAATTGCAGAAAATCAAGCCAGTTGTTGAGTACAATAAAAGGGGGAAAGGATGTGGCCCTGCACATACTGAGATGCAGTCCTACATTGGTGTGTTGGCACGCTCCAGAGTCCCACTTGTGGACAAGAAATGGGCTGAAATCCCCAAGGATATAAAGGAGCAGATTTGGGAAGCCGTTGACATGGCTTTTGTGGTAGGTCAAGGGGGCAAGACCTCGGTGTTATCTTCTGCTGCCAAGAAATGGAAGGATTTCAAGTCTACACTGACGAGGCATTATATCCTTCCATACATCAAGGAGAGGGAGAAATTAAGCCAACCCCCTGAAGTATATAAATTCATAGAGAAAGCAGAATGGGATGCCTTTGTAGCTTCAAGGTTATCCAAAGAATTTGAGTCTGTGCATTCTCAACATTCACAGATTAGGGAGAAACTTGAGTACAATCATCGATTGTCTCGAAAAGGATAAGCTGGTTTGGAGGATCAATTGGAGGAAACCATGCCTGGGGTAGAAATTGATCGATCTACCTTATGGAAGAAAGCTAGATAGGACAAACATGGTAACATCCCAGATCCAAAGGTGGCAGAGAAAGCAAAATTAATTGTAAGCCTACACACTCTGTTTTAAATTTTTATTAAACTGTGTATAATTCTTATTACGTCTTATGTTATATTTTTCCGTCGTGTGAATGATTTTACTACGTCGAAATGTTTTAAAAAACGTCGTGAAAGATCTAAATTTGGAATCACAACTCTGTTTTCTGTAATTATAGCATAAGACGTTGGTGGTTAATTTTTTCGTCGTGTTAATGATATTACTACGTCGAAATGTTTTCAAAAACGTCGTGAAAGATCTAAATCTGGAATCACAACTCTGTTTTCTGTAATTACAGCATAAGACGTCGGTGGTTTATTTATTGCGTCGTTTGAAACAACTAACCACGTCGTTTTTAATTAACGTCGTTATAAATATATTATAACGTCGATTTCTATATTGTTGCGTCGTGTGAAATTATATAATGCGTCGTTTGTTTATAAATAACCGTCGTGTGTTTTCTTGTGCTGACTTTTTTATATGTCTTTGTTTTAGGATGAATTGCAAAAACAAGTGGCTGAAGGCAGTCTTAGTTTAACTGGCAGTAATGATGTGTTGACCTTGGCTTTGGGTCCCGAGCATCCAGGGAGAGTAAGAGGGGTAGGTGCTAGGATTTCCCCTAGGCAATTCTTCAATTTACCTAGACCACAAAGGATAAAGTTTGCCGATCAATTGAGGGAAAGTGTAAGAATTGTCCTTCAAGAAGAGACTAAGAAGATGGAAGCTAGAACCAAACAATTGGTAGAGGCTGAGAGGGAACATTTACTAAGTTAGCTTTCCCACCTCATCCCCAATTTTGATCCAAGCATGCTTAAACCGAAAACTAGCCCCTGTTAAAACCAAGGTCTAGAGCAAAGTCCCAAAAATCCAATGTCTGATAAAGCAAGCTGTTCTGGGGCTGAAGTGAGATCCCTACATTTAGAGGATGATACTGCCAAAAATGGGGAACAGCAGGAAGAAACGGTAACATATCTGAACTTTGAATTCTCTTTTTTTTTAAACATTAGACGTCGTTATTATGAAGAAACCCGTCGTTTTAAAACCATACCACAACGATTTTATAAATAAACCGTCGTTTTTTATTTAAATACCACGTCGTATTTAGTTTACTTGTTTTACACGCCATTAGACGTCGTACTTTGTGGTTTTTAGACGACGGTTTTAGTCCTTACCGACGTAATAGACAATTACCATGACGTTTATTATTTACCATCATTTAATAATTTTAAGACGTCCATAATTCTTACATACCGTCTTATGTTATGCCTTACCACGACGTTTTGATTTAATTTTTTTACTTTCTGTACAATCTGTCTTATATATATATATATATATATATATTTCTTTATTACTTAAAACAGAAATCTGGGGCTTTAGATAATCAAGATGAGGAGAAGAAAGAAGAAAAAAAAGATGAAGAGAAGAAGGGAGAAAAAAAAGATGAAGGGAAGAAGGAAGAAAAAAAAGAGAAAAAAGATGAAGGCAAAAAGGAAGACAAAAATGATGAAGAGAAGAAAGAAGAAAAACAAGATGAAGAAAAGCATGACGAAGAGGTATATTCTCATAACTTTGCCTTTTTTATTTGTTTTTCACATTTCAGACGTCGATATTTTTCTTTAAACCGTCGTTTGTTTTCAAATTAGACGTCGGAATTTATTTTCTATGACGTAATAAATTATCTAAAACGACGGTTTTTTATTACCGTCGTTTAAATTATTATCAGACGACGTTTTTTTAATTTAAACCGTCGTTTTTATTGAATTACCACGTCATTTTATTTTGCTTTATTTCTTTAAACAGGGTAATGAAGTAGTTGATTATTCAAATGTGGAGGTGCCATCTTCCTTACAATCCCTTTGTCGTTATGTGGAAACGACACTAAAGCCACAGGGGAAGATCATGACCTTCAACATTGAGAAGGAGGTGTTTGGTGCAGATCGCAGTACCTTCGTCTTGCATGAAGATATTACACAGTTTGCAGGCATGGAAGAAATTGGGGCTACTGTGGTTGCAGTATATATGAGGTTTGTCCTTATCAAATATCAAACATTATAGCATAAGACGTCGGTGGTTTAATTATTGCGTCGTTTTAAACCACTAACCATGTCGTTCTTTTTTTACCGTCGTGATAAATTAGTTATAACGTCTGTTTCTATTTCAGTTCGTCGTGTGAAATTGTATAATACGTTGTTTGTTTATAAATAACCGTTGTTTGTTTTATATATTTAGGTGCTTATATGATCGTTTGAGAGAAGCAAATATGTGCAGCATGGTTGGCTTTATCGACCCTGCTCAAGTTAGTGCCAACGCTGGGTCACTAACTGACAGATCACGAATTGTAGCCAGTCGACTTCAGAAAACAGATGGTGAACAGATTTTCATGATGCCTTACAATCCAGGGTTAGACTCCTTAAAAGGATTTTGTTTGTATGATTTTCACTAACTGACCACTTATAAAACTATTTAACTAATTTTGTGTCGTTTGAAACATCTAACCACGTCGGTTATTTATTTATTGAGTCATTTGAAACAACTAACCACGTCGGTAGTTAATTACCGTCGTGATAAATTTATAATGACGTCGATGATTAAGTTATTACGTCTTGTGAAACTATATAATACGTCGGTTTTTATAAATAACCGTCCTTTGTTTTCTTGTGCTGACTTTTTATATTAACCGTCGTTTTTATTTTTATTTTTGTGTAGCCGTCATTGGGTCTTGCTGATTGTGAGAGCAAAGAGGGAAACCATCTATTTTCTGGATCCTCTGCCTGGAAATCGTGTGGTTGATGAGGAGGGCAAAAACATCGTGAACAGTGCTTTAAAAATTTATAATTCCCACATAGGCAGACCAGGCCGTAAAGCACCAATTTGGAAAACTCTGCCAGGCACACCAAAGCAACCCAGCAGTGTCGAATGCGGGTATTATGTGATGCGCTTCATGAGGGACATCATCATGGATCCTTCCTTGGAGTTTGAGAAGAAGGTAAGAAGAAAATTTTCAGAAACATTTTATGTGGTTTTTTGTATTATCAACGACGGTCCTTTAAAATTACCGTCGTTGAATCGATAGACTACGTCGGTTATGAAAAAAAACGTTGTCTGTGACTGAATTTCTTTTTATTTTGTAAAGCTTAATAATCATTGTTTATGGATTGCAGTTTGCCAAGGGAAAAGAGCAAGCGCCATACCCCCAAGTAGCCATTGATGAAGTCCGGAAAGAATTGGCAGAGTTTGTTTGCCTTCATATGGAATAGAGGATTTTTGGAACACTTGATATTTTTATATGTACTAATTTTGTCTATAATATATAATGTACAAATTTTGTCTATAATATACATCCTTTTTTTCCCTGAAAATTTTCTGAGGTTTTCATAATATAAAAGAAAAAACAAATTGCGTAACCGACGTGTAATAACTTTCCAACTACATAATTATGTAAAAAACCGACGTAAAATGATATTTAGACGTGATATACCGTTTGTACGTACATGGGACGTCGTTTTAGTGAAAATTTCGCCATGGTTTCGCTTTTAAACGACGTCCTTTGAACAAGTAAGTCGTTTATTAGGGTTTAGGTTAATACTTTTTAACGATGAGGATTCAGTCGTGGAATATGTATTTTCAGTCGGATGGTGAAACATCCGCTATGGTTTCTCTTTTAAACGACGTCCTTTTTACATGTGTCTCATTTATTATTATTTACAACGTCGTGGTTTGTTGTTGATACAAGAATATTTTATTATTTTTAATTCAAAATTTTAAATATAAATTTAAAATAAATTCAAAAAATTCAACTTCAACTCCTATGAAGTCATTGATATATTTTCTTTCCCCTAAACCCCAAAAAAATGCAATTTGAGTAATAAAAGTTTAAAATGACCAACCAAAATAAAATTGTTTTGATGAGTCATAACATCACTTATATAGTTTGATGGTTTAGGGTTTAGGGTTGTTATTTATTAGGGTTTAGGGTTAAAGTATAATTTTTGGGGTTTAGGGTTTATGTTTGTTATATATTAGGCTGTAAAACCATAAACAATTTTATAAAATTAAATTTTACAAATATATAATTTATGGTTTTAAAGTTTAGGGTATTACTTTTAACGACGGTGATTGAGTCGTGGAATATTGAGTTTACGTCGGATAGTGAAAAATCCGACATGGTTTCTCTTTTAAACGACGTTTTTTTACACGTGAGTCGTTTATTAACATTTACAACGTCGTTAGTTACTTAACCCCGCCGTGGTTTGTTGTTGATATAAGAATATTTTATTATTTTTAATTCAAAATTTTAAAAATAAATCCAAAAAATTCAACTTCAACTCCTATGAAGTCATTGATATATTTTCTTCCCTCTAAACCCCAAAAAAATGCAGTTTGAGTAATAAAAGTTTAAAATGACCAACCAAAATAAAATTGTTTTGATGAGTCATAACATCACTTATATAGTTTGATGGTTTAGGGTTTAGGGTTGTTATTTATTAGGGTTTAGGGTTAAAGTATAATTTTTGGGGTTTAGGGTTTATGTTTGTTATATATTAGGCTGTAAAACCATAAACAATTTTATAAAATTAAATTTTACAAATATATAATTTATGGTTTTAAAGTTTAGGGTATTACTTTTAACGACGGTGATTGAGTCGTGGAATATTGAGTTTACGTCGGATAGTGAAAAATCCGACATGGTTTCTCTTTTAAACGACGTTTTTTACACATGAGTCGTTTATTAACATTTACAACGTCGTTAGTTACTTAACCCCGCCGTGGTTTGTTGTTGATATAAGAATATTTTATTATTTTTAATTCAAAATTTTAAAAATAAATTTAAAATAAATCCAAAAAATTCAACTTCAACTCCTATGAAGTCATTGATATATTTTCTTCCCTCTAAACCCCAAAAAAATGCAGTTTGAGTAATAAAAGTTTAAAATGACCAACCAAAATAAAATTGTTTTGATGAGTCATAACATCACTTATATAGTTTGATGGTTTATGATTGTTATTTATTAGGGTTTAGGGTTAAAGTATAATTTTTGGGGTTTAGGGTCTATGTTTGTTATATATTAGGCTGTAAAACCATAAACAATTTTATAAAATTAAATTTTACAAATATATAATTTATGGTTTTAAAGTTTAGGGTATTACTTTTAACGACGGTGATTGAGTCGTGGAATATTGAGTTTACGTCGGATAGTGAAAAATCCGACATGGTTTCTCTTTTAAACGACGTTTTTTTACACGTGAGTCGTTTATTAACATTTACAACGTCGTTAGTTACTTAACCCCGCCGTGGTTTGTTGTTGATATAAGAATATTTTATTATTTTTAATTCAAAATTTTAAAAATAAATCCAAAAAATTCAACTTCAACTCCTATGAAGTCATTGATATATTTTCTTCCCTCTAAACCCCAAAAAAATGCAGTTTGAGTAATAAAAGTTTAAAATGACCAACCAAAATAAAATTGTTTTGATGAGTCATAACATCACTTATATAGTTTGATGGTTTAGGGTTTAGGGTTGTTATTTATTAGGGTTTAGGGTTAAAGTATAATTTTTGGGGTTTAGGGTTTATGTTTGTTATATATTAGGCTGTAAAACCATAAACAATTTTATAAAATTAAATTTTACAAATATATAATTTATGGTTTTAAAGTTTAGGGTATTACTTTTAACGACGGTGATTGAGTCGTGGAATATTGAGTTTACGTCGGATAGTGAAAAATCCGACATGGTTTCTCTTTTAAACGACGTTTTTTACACGTGAGTCGTTTATTAACATTTACAACGTCGTTATTTACTTAACCCCGCCGTGGTTTGTTGTTGATATAAGAATATTTTATTATTTTTAATTCAAAATTTTAAAAATAAATTTAAAATAAATCCAAAAAATTCAACTTCAACTCCTATGAAGTCATTGATATATTTTCTTCCCTCTAAACCCAAAAAAATGCAGTTTGAGTAATAAAAGTTTAAAATGACCAACCAAAATAAAATTGTTTTGATGAGTCATAACATCACTTATATAGTTTGATGGTTTAGGGTTTAGGATTGTTATTTATTAGGGTTTAGGGTTAAAGTATAATTTTTGGGGTTTAGGGTTTATGTTTGTTATATATTAGGCTGTAAAACCATAAACAATTTTATAAAATTAAATTTTACAAATATATAATTTATGGTTTTAAAGTTTAGGGTATTACTTTTAACGACGGTGATTGAGTCGTGGAATATTGAGTTTACGTCGGATAGTGAAAAATCCGGCGTGGTTTCTCTTTTAAATGACGTTTTTTTACACGTGAGTCATTTATTAACATTTACAACGTCGTTAGTTACTTAACCCCGCCGTGGTTTGTTGTTGATAGAAGACTATTTTATTATTTTTAATTCAAAATTTTAAAAATAAATTTAAAATAAATCCAAAAAATTCAACTTCAACTCCTATGAAGTCATTGATATATGTTCTTCCCCCTAAACCCCAAAAAAATGCAGTTTGAGTAATAAAAGTTTAAAATGACCAACCAAAATAAAATTGTTTTGATGAGTCATAGCATCACTTATATAGTTTGATGGTTTAGGGTTTAGGGTTTGGGGTTTAGGGTTGTTATTTATTAGGGTTTAGGGTTAAAGTATAATTTTTGGGGTTTACGGTTTATGTTTGTTATATATTAGGCTGTAAAACCATAAACAATTTTATAAAATTAAATTTTACAAATATATAATTTATGGTTTTAAAGTTTAGGGTATTACTTTTAACGACGGTGATTGAGTCGTGGAATATTGACTTTACGTCGTATGGTGAAAAATCCGTCATGGTTTCTCTTTTAAACGACGTTTTGTTTACACGTGAGTCGTTTATTGTTATTACAATGTCGTTAATTACTTAACTCCGACGTGGTTTTTCATAGTTTTAACGACTTCTGTTTGATTTTGCGTCGTACATAGTTTTACCACGATGTCCTTAATGTAATAAGCGTCATGTTTAATGTGAAATTTTAACGACGTTTGTTTTTTCGGTCGATGTTTTAAAGAGCGCGCTTTCTTAAAATATTTGCGGGACCTAAAATTTTCAAATTTGGCTCTTAGTTTTATACTTCTAACCCTGAACCCTAAAATTTTCAGATTTCGCGCAACATAACATTTCACTCTCTCACTTCATCTCTAATTCAAAGTTGGGCTCTCCAAGCTGTGTCAAATCCAATTTGGTCATAATCTGTGAGCTCTGCCAACCTGTAAGTACAAACCCTCTCTTCCCCTTGTAAATTCATTGAATGATATTACGTTGTTTTGTTAAAGGGTTTTAGGTATATGTTTTGCGATCTGTTAATAATGTTGTTGGAGGTATGGGTTCATGGATTTTCTGTTTAATATTTTCTTGATCACTCTCTGTTATGTTGAATAGGGAATGGATTTCATTTTGTCGGATCTTTTAATCACTCTCTGTTATGTTGAATTGGGAATGGATTTATTGTTTTCATGCTTTCATGCTTGGTTTCATGTCTATGTTGTGTTCTTAATAGGGTTTTGGGATCTTGAAAATAAACTGGATATTGACGCGTTTTCAGGCATACGACGACGGTTTTTACTTTAAACCGTCGTTTTTATTACTTATACACGACGGTGTTATTTAACTACCGTCGTGGTTATAATTAGACGACGTAAAATCTATCGTCTATATATGTCAAATACGTCTGTTTTTGTTTAAAAACCGTCGTCTCTGTTGTATATTACTTGCTATTAGACTTTATATAATCTGCTATAGTGATGGTCATTGCTTGTCTTTTCACTTTATTATATATAATAAGGTATAGTGTCGGAGATGGATAAGTCATGGATGCACTCGGATAGAAGATCGAAGGCATATGAGTTAGGGGTGGAAGCATTTTTGAACTTTTCTGTAGAAAATCTTCTAACTACAACACATATCCGTTGTCCATGTGTTAAATGTGTTAATTTGAAATTGTTTGGGGTTGGAATTATAAGGGATCACTTATACTTTAATGGAGTTGACCAAAGCTATAAGAATTGGACATTTCACGGAGAACCTTGGGAAGCAACTACTAATGCTAGTAGAAATGTTGAAGAAGATGATGACCATAGTAGGTACAGTTTTTGTGTCTGAAAAATAGAGATGGATGATAATGATTTTGGTGATTTTGGATCTGATCCTTATGAGTTTGCCAATGTGATTGGGGATGGAGATCAACCATTGTACCCTGGTTGTAGAAAGTACACGAAGTTATCGGCATTAGTGAAGTTTTATAATTTGAAGGCAAAACATGGGATGAGTGATGTCTGTTTTACAGAATTATTGATACTTCAAGGCGATTTGCTTCCAGAAGGAAATACAATACCGGCCTCTATGTATGAGGCAAAAAAGACTTTGTGTGCATTGGGGCTGAGTTATGAGAAAATGCACGCATGCCCCAATGATTGCATCTTGTATAGGAAGGAGTATGAGGATTTAACTCATTGTCCTAATTGTGGTATCTCAAGGTGGAAGGAAGGCAAAGATTCAATCTTGAAAGAGGGTGTGCCAGCGAAGGTGGTGTGGTATTTTCCTCCAATTCCAAGGTTTAAAAGGATGTTTCGATCACATGAGACCGCTAAGAGTTTGACTTGGCATGCTGCTAGAAAATCAATTGACGGTTATATGTCTCATCCAGCGGATTCCCCGTCTTGGAAACTTCTTGATGATAAATGGCCCGAGTTTGGTAATGAGCCGAGAAACTTGAGATTGGCTCTTTCATCTGATGGATTCAATCCCCACAGTTCTCTAAGTAGCAGATATAGTTGCTGGCCAGTTATCTTAGTTACATATAATCTCCCTCCATGGCTGTGCATGAAACGAAAGTTCATGATGTTGACCTTATTGATTTCCGGTCCTAAACAGCCCGGAAATGATATAGATGTCTACTTGGAGCCTTTGATTGATGATTTAACATCTTTGTGGGATGGGATTGGAGGAGTGTATGATGCACATAATGGAGAATACTTTACACTCAGAGTTGCATTAATGTGGACAATTAATGATTTCCCCGCCTATGGAAACTTATCTGGTTGTGTTGTTAAAGGATATAAAGCTTGTCCAATATGCGGCGATGATACACCTAGTCACAGGTTGAAAAATGGCCACAAAATTTGTTACATTGGGCATAGAAAATGGTTACCGATCAATCATCCATATAGGAGGCAACGTGCAGCTTTTAATGGGAAACCTGAATATGGCACGCCTCCTGAGCCATTAACCGGAGAAGAAGTGCTGCATATGGTTGAAGATGGTGACAGAGTTTGTTGGAAGAAGAAATCAATATTCTTTGATCTCGAGTATTGGAAATACCTTCCTGTGAGGCATGTCCTAGATGTTATGCACATTGAGAAGAATGTTTGCGATAGTATCATTGGTACATTGCTGGAGATCCCTGAAAAAAATAAAGATGGGATTGCTGCTCGATTAGATTTATTGAACATGGGGGTCAAAACTGATTTGCAACCCGAGTATGGAGAAAGACGTACTCGTTTGCCTCCCGGGCCTTGGAATTTGTCAATAGCAGAGAAGAGAGAGGTTTGCAATTCTTTCTATGGTATGAAGGTCCCTGAAGGTTATTCTTCAAATATAAAAAATCTTGTATCTTTACAAGATTCAAGACTTCTTGGCCTTAAATCACATGATTGTCATACCTTAATGCAACAATTGCTCCCTGTGGCAATTCGTTCTGTTTTGGAGAAGCCTGCAAGGTATGCAATAACTCGTTTGTGCTTCTTCTTCAATGCTATATGTGCAAAGACTGTTGATGTTTCCAAGCTAGATAAGTTGGAAGAAGATGTAGTAGTTACTTTGTGTTTGCTTGAGAAGTACTTTCCCCCTTCATTCTTTGATATCATGGTTCATCTAGTAGTACATCTTGTCAGAGAAGTTCGTCTATGTGGGCCAGTATATTTTAGATGGATGTATCCGTTTGAAAGATATATGAAAGTGCTAAAGGGGTATGTTCAGAATCGTACTCGTCCCGAATGTTGCATTGCTGAGCGGAATATAGCTGAAGAAGCTGTAGAGTTTTGTACCAAGCATTTATCTGATGTTAGTACAGTTGGAGTGCCTTCAAGCCAAAAGATGAGAGTTTCAAAGCCAATATCAGGTTGCACAGTGAGCGTAGTTGATCGGGACCTGTTGAACCAAGCACATTTATATGTCTTGGAGAATACGGAGGAAGTCCTACCTTATATCGAGTACGTATGAGTTTTATTCTTTAAGTTTCCATTTTAATTATTTCTTATGTTTATCTTATATGTTTGGGACCGTAATACTTGAATTTTGTTTTTTTTTTTTTTTTTTTTTTTTTTTTTTTTTTTTTTTTTTTTTTTTTTTTTTTTTTTTTTTTTTTTTTTTTTTTTTTTTTTTTTTTTTTTTTTTTTTTTTTTTTTTTTTTTTTTTTTTTTTTTTTTTTTTTTTTTTTTTTTTTTTTTTTTTTTTTTTTTTTTTTTTTTTTTTTTTTTTTTTTTTTTTTTTTTTTTTTTTTTTTTTTTTTTTTTTTTTTTTTTTTTTTTTTTTTTTTTTTTTTTTTTTTTTTTTTTTTTTTTTTTTTTTTTTTTTTTTTTTTTTTTTTTTTTTTTTTTTTTTTTTTTTTTTTTTTTTTTTTTTTTTTTTTTTTTTTTTTTTTTTTTTTTTTTTTTTTTTTTTTTTTTTTTTTTTTTTTTTTTTTTTTTTTATTGTATTGTAAGACTCCTTATGCGTATGGGTTGTTCTGTGTCTTCGGGATTTTGGTATTTTACTGCAAATTGGGGGTTGGAAACGCGATAAAGTGTTGGAGATATACTGACTACATGTGGGGAGTTGAATCTGCAATTTGCGTGCATCAGATGTATGTAGCTTGCATTTCTAGGAGACTTGGCAATAGATTTAATCGAGGGTTTCTAGCTTTTTGGCTGATATAGCTTTCGTCCTTGTTTTGAGCCGTAAAATTTGACTTATATTGAGTATCTCTGCGATGTTTTGTGTTTCCGTCCCAATTTCAAATGGTGCACACCAATATCATGTAGTTTCCGAGTTGAGACTCTGTGGATATATTGGAACTAAAAACATGAGCTTTTGTTTTAGCTAAATAGAAGAAGACATGGTAGAGTGTAAAACGGCAAATTGCTTCATTGCGTTTTGACTTTTATTTCAATCATTAAAAACAGGGTAAAAATCAGCAAGTCCATCTGTACCCGACATGAAAAAATAATATAATTATGGCTCCAAAAATCAAGATGTTTTGAAATACTGAAGAAGTAATTCTTACTCCTGAAATAATTAACAATCTTGCGACCTTTATATCAAATCAAAGCACATTAAAATGAATGTTTTAATCTGGATTTTTTTCCATTGGTATATAAGGATGTTTGTTTTCTTTTTCTTTAGTGCAAAGCAACTTAATTATTATAATTAACAATTATAATAATGGGCAACCAATGACTTTCCAAGTCTCCTACTTCCTACCGGAGCCCTAGAGCCCAAGCAGTGAAGAATCACAACCGCGTAGTCTATCTTTCATTACGACCTGTCGTTCTCATAATGAATTTGCTTAGCTCTGTATATTTTCGACTAGTGTGTCGTTTACAGTTTGTCGTGTTGGGTAAAAGCGAGAGAGAGAGAGATGGCAGTTCCCGGAAAATGCTTGCTGGTGACGGGACCTCCTGTAAAGTTTCGAATTCTATCTCTCTACACTTTCAATATTAATTTCCAGCCATTCTTCGTTTCAGAATTCGTATTGCCTTCTGTTCAATTTTTCTCTCAATCTGCTTTCCTCTTTATGCTGATGCACAGGGTGTGGGAAAAAGCACTCTAATTATGAGAGTGTTTGAGACCCTGAGGGCCTCAAATCCCAACTTAAAAATTCAGGGTTTCTACACAAGTAAGTTTTCAAATTAAATTGTTTTGGTTGGGTTATGTTTTCTTATATAATAGATTGATGTAATTGTTTTCGAATTTGTACTTGTAATTCTGTAGGTGAAGTTAGACGAGGAAGTGAGAGAGTTGGGTTCCAAGTGGTTACATTAGATGGCCGCACAGCTCCTCTGGCCTCCACCATTTCCAGGTCTTGTTGCCTCCTTTTCCTCTTTTCATCCAATCTCAATGACTCCTGTTCTTTGTTGCATTGCTTAGGCAGTTTCTCAAACTCCATAATCCATTGCTAAGAATGCTATGTCATATTAATCATTCATTTCACTTGCATCCTATTCCACCAGCTATAACAAGTAAAGCCTAAAGCATGTGTTTTTTCTTTAATGTCAGCCCAGAGTCTTTCAGGTGGCCCAATGTGGGGAAGTACAAAGTAAATGTTGCTTCATTTGAGTCACTGGCACTGCCTGAACTACAGGTGAGGTGGTTTTTCCACTGCTTACTGTTCAACTCATACCACCCCTTTACACAATTTAATCTATGTTTGGCCTTTTTGGTTGTGGATTTCGTTATATTCTTTCAGGGTTAGACTATGGGATTTGAGTCATTTTTGCATCCTTTTCCCGATTGCTTATCAGGTGAAAGAAGATACTGATCTATTCATCATTGATGAAGTTGGAAAGATGGAGTTTGTACAGTTCATCTTTCTTCCCTGCTGTTTTGAAGGTTCTGGAATCCAATATCCCACTTTTGGCCTCAATCCCAATTCCCAAATTTGGACGAGATATTCCAGGAGGTACATTTTCCTCATTCTTTCTCACTATGGTGTTTTGATTACTTGATTTGTCAGCTGTCACACATTTTCTCTAAGTTTGATTTCTTTCTTCACAGACTTCTAATCACAATTCAAATATTTCTTAAAGTAAATTTGGGTAGAGTTTTTTGGTTGGTGTGTTTTGTTATTTTGGCTTGTTCTATGGAGTTGCAGTTGTGACTGAATAAATGTGGAGTTGGTGTTAGCATTCTGCCATCCTGCTTTTGAGCTGAATCTGTATATGACTAGGGTATCTGATCTTCTGCAGTTGCACGGTTAAAGAATCATCCAGGTGCAACGATTTTCACACTGAGCCCGAGTAACCGGGATGCTGTTAAAGAAGAGATATACCTCCAACTGGTAGACTTATTGAGTAAACAATAGATGTTGGACAATCAATGTGGTCCTTGTTGTGAACAATATTTATCAGCTGCTCCATACTCAAAAGTTATGACTTGAAGGAGCTTTGATGTACTCAATAGGCTTTAACAAATTATAAAAACTAAATAGTGTATTTTTTATTTCTCAATTTCAGCATTATCTTATTTTAGTTTGCTTGTAACCTGTAGAGAGAGAGAGAGAGAGAGAGAGAGAGAGAGGAGAGAGAGAGAGAGAGAGAGAGAGAGAGAGATGTTAGGTTAATCCTCAAGAGACAAGGAGAGGACAAACAATTCCAATCATGTAACTTTTCTTTCCTGATTATATATGCAAAAGTTTGTTATTTTTATACATTCAATATATGCAAAAGAATTAAAGAAAACTGTGTCAAAAACAAACAAGATGGATGTTAAAGCCAAAAACAAATAAAATTAATACGAAGATATATTTTAATTTGATTGCTGAAGACAATAAGCTCAACGGGGTCATGAGCCTCGCCTATCCTGTTCAGTTCGCAGCAGTTCATTTGCCAAGGATGAGAATGATTGAGCTGTGTCTTGCATCTCTGTAGTCCTCAGGTTGATTCCCTGCTCATTTCAACAAAAATATGGTTTGATTAATTTAACATAAAGCAATTTCATTCTGGCACTTTGAAAAAATAATCTATGAATAAAAGGGTCCATTTCATCACTGCCAAATTCCTACAACTTATTTATCTGGGATGCTAAAAAGGTATACCTGCAACTTTTTCATGTTCTCCTGCAGCTTGCTTTCTGCCATTTTAGCAATATTTGCTTCCTGCAGCCAGAGGCACATGAAATGATGTTGTTGACAGCATTTTAAAAAGGTTTAATATCTAAGTAAATAAGTTGTTCATCTTCTGAAAGTTAAAGAAGGATGTGTGCTTACATTTGACGAGAATCCATATCTCCTCTTAATTTGGTCAACTTGACCAACCTTCCCATCCTGTTGCTCTTCTTTGGTGGAGTTTTTCTCAGTCTTGGACTTCATTTGTTTCAGCACTTTACCTGTAGATTGGAAAGTTTTATCAGGCAAGACACTGCCCAGGCAGACCTGATTGATAAATTCATGCCATGTAGTGTTGTACTGACCTTTAAAGGCCATAAATTTGCTTGCCAACTTTTCCTTGTTAAGAGCTGCCAACATATTCTGCTCTTTTGGTTTTTCTCCAGGAATGTCCATGTCCATGTCGATGTCAATGTCATCTTTAAGCAAAAAAATTCATACAAAATGGCTCATCTCAAAACTCCATGCAGATTGAAATGATATATAAATAACTTTCTCGAAATTTTTAATGATCACTTAGGATGTTATACGATATCAGTAAATTTATATGCATACCTAGGTCTAGCTCATCTTCATCCCTGGCCTGCTCATCTGTGTTTTCAACATCAACTGTAAAGTTAGCAGTTGAAAAGATCGTAGAAAGTTCTTCGAAACTTTCTTTAGTATCTTCAGTTTCAATCTCAGGGACATTCTTCGCTTTGCTTCCCACAATATCTTTAATGACAGAGCTGAATATACCCTAGCAAGAAAATAACATATTTGAAACCTTTCATTCCACAAGAAATAGGTTGTAGACAGAGTTAGTAATATATCATTTCCCCATCTACCTTTTTCTTTTCCTTTTGTATGGTCCGTCCAGGAATGAGATCTTCTTGTGGAATTATCAAATCTTTCTGGTAAGTCGAGTTGAAAGAGTCTAAAAGCCTTGTATGAGGAAAGAAAAACACAAGAAATTATGACCTAGAAGAATTTCCATTATAATAGAAATTATGAAGAAACAAATGTACAAAGAAATTTTCAAGGATATGTATACCTGAAGCTTTTATTGTGGAGTGAAAGAGAGAAGAAAAATATTTCCTGATCACCATTCACCTGTGCAAGGATGAAGTAGAGCAAATGATGAGGATTTTCTCAAGATCGTACCTTATGCGACTGATATGAAAAGCTTGAATTACACTTACCATAACAAGTTCTCCTTCACACGAAGAGCATATCAAACTGTCAGAAAATGAATTTGGTTTTGGAGTGGAGTATGTGAAGCCCCTTATTGAAGTCTCCTTTATTAAGGATAACTCCGGCAAGGACCTAGCATTGCATAATATCACTTAACACTCAGAAATTTGAATAACACACATGAATAACTAGAACATCTCAAAATTCTGATTTGAGATCACATTCAATGCATGCCTATTTTTTCCTGTTACCCCAAATGATGAAATTTGGAGCTACAAGATGATTGGAAAATAGACAATGAGAAGTTACTACCTTATCTCAACTTTTCCACTTGTGAAAAGGAGTATAAGGCCAACATCAGAGGAGGTGTAGAATGTCGAAGCCCAGCAACAAGATGCTTGGAATTTCTTCTTGTAGATTACCTTCTTAACTCCCTGACATAAAAGAAAGAACAACAAAACTATAGAATCAGATAAAAATTCTTTTGAATTCATAGTTCGTACACAAGATGAAACACTTTACCTGCATGACATGAGTGAAAGAATATACGTACGCAGCTTTTTCAGAACATAGAAGGAGTAAAGACTGCTTTGGCACGCCGTCCTCAACAGGGCTCCCATTGCTCAAGTCAAGACCGTTTAATAAGTTTAATCTTTTAACATCCTGCCCATCTGTGTAACATTTTTAAAGAAAATAAACACACAAATCACATAATTTGATCCTTAAAATGGAGCAGTATATGGGAACATTTCAACCAAAAAAAAAGTGGGAACCTGAAGAGACCAGAACTTACCCAAGATCTGCATGAAAAGTGCTCGAGTGGGTTTTTTGGGATGAACCAAACTAGTACTCAATGTGTTTCCATTATCACTATCAAGAGCCAAAACAGATGAATCCTCTGTTGCAACTGCTAAGACATTCTTGTCAAAACCATGAAAACTGCAGGTTTGGAAATGCAGAGAGATGATGCCGGTGGAGATTTCACTTGCAATATGTTTTTGGTATAATACAGTTGGCCCTTCTATATCAAGAACTGAAACCTGTGAGGAAAACAAGCTCAAGTGTAAGAATAGAATGGAAAGAGGACAAGAAATCGAGAATGGTTAAAGGCAAAGAGAGAAGATCAAAAAGTAGTTATTAGATAGTAAGTAAGCTTACATATCCTTGACTAGACCCAACAGCAAGATGTCCTGTGCTGTGGTTTATGTTCACAGAAAGTACAGAACCATTAACCTTCAAGAGTTTAACGCTTTGAATGATGTGATCGTTTCCTTTTTTCGTACTTCCTGCCATAAGTATGTGAAACTCATAAGGCCCTTTGTAATGTACTTCATTGTGGTAAAAACGTGAAGCAGATTGCTAGTTATACGGCAATGGCCTGATAGTTGAATCATGTGCTAAATCATACCTTGAAGAGACAAGAAACTGCTCACATTGGCATATGGTTCAGGTTTCAATCTAAAGATTCGAACCTGTAAATCACATATACATTAAATGCACCACATATTTTCCTCAAAGCAATTAAATTGAGCATAATTCACCCAATCCGTTCACCATTGTACTTACCATTCCACTCTGATCTCCAGAAACAAGAAGCCGAGAGTTCTCATTGAAAAACAAGGCTGTGACTGGTATACCACTTAAAGAAAGATCATCCTCACTCTGCATTTTGTTTGGGGGTGTGTGGAGGAGAATAAATAAGCACAATAGTAAAGAATTATCTAATATTCTCCACTAATCTGCAAATAAGCTCAAAATGCTTTAGTGATATCAAATGAAATGTTTACCTGTTGCTTTAATGATAGTATTGGTACTAAAAGTGGACATGACAAATCCCAAAAGTTCAGGGCTCCATCATTGTGTCCAGTTATGTACAGATTTTTTACTTTCAAAAATCCAGTGAAGCGGGCTGCATTTAAATGAGTTCCATCTTTTGGTTTTGTCTCAAAAGAAAAGAGAGATGGAATGCTTTTCGCCAGGAGAAGGCAGTCCTATGTAATCAAGAATACCACATCACGAACAGTAAAAACTAATACTAAAATCTTAAATGAAAAGATGTAGTTTTGGTATGAAACATTCAATGGTCACATTACCTCATCTGCAAAACTTAACATTTGGGTATTATCTGTGATAAATTTGCCACTGTAATGTTTGAATCAACAAACGGTATCTTCACCATGACCTCCTTTGGCAATGATGGTGAAGACTTTGATTGGCTTTGTAGAAGATACTTTTCGATCAAACAATCATCATAGGCATAAAGATTTCCTGAATTACCAAGCAAAAGAAAGCAATCTTGTTTATGTTTGCTTTGCTCACTTAAGCTTGAAACAATCTCCATGTCGATACAAGGCTCGGGCAACTGAAGCCCTAATTTAATAGTGCGACCTTCTGTATGTTCATTCAACAAGATTACCTGCCTCATCAAAACCAAATTTTCTCACTTGCACTCGGTTGGGATTGTGATTAAGAACCAAAAAACAAAATGAGAAATGCTTCAATAGCACATGTTAATAATGATATGTACCTGCAACAAGTTTGAAGAGATGGTGTCAGACCCCCCCATAACATATAGTCTACTTGCCTTCCCATCTGCATAAACCCATCTCAATGATGCTATAGGAATTTTGTCCAACTTATAACCAACATTCAGTTTAAAGATCGGAGTACTTTGCGTACTAGGCTCTGATGGTAATTCAGTTCTTGTTGAAACACTCCAGATGAAAATATCTCCATTGCTGTACCCAACAGCAACTTTACTCCCAAAGGGGCATGCCCAGCATGCAGAAGTCACTTTTTTCCCTTCATGATGAAGTGATTGCAATGCATTTCCACCTGCTGTGAATACGGTTTTGCTTTCTCGAATATCCCATAAGGATATGATACCATCTATAAAAATTATAAGAACTCTGCATTGAAACATATGACTTAAGAATTGGTAAAACTGAGAGGTTGCATTGAGGAAGGCAGAGAGAGAGAGAGAGAGGCAGTAAATTTTGGTGAGACTACCTCTTACTTTCAGCTGCTGGTTGAGGCAGTACATGTACCACAGAAGTATCACCAGTTTCTTCAGTTGGATTCCCTGATCAGATGATAAAATCAAGTTGGAAAGTAAAGAAAATGCTTATAAACCCCCAACATTTCAAAGCAAATGGTGAGGGCATAATCTATCCTCTGAGTGTAAAAGGTGAAGAGGAATGCATCTAACCATGAGAAGCTGAATAAGGTATAGTATACTTCATTTGTACTATATGTTCTTGCTCAAGCTTCAAAACTCTAACATTACCAGCAGAATTTCCAACATACCTGCCATCATACATTTGTCCAATACATAAACTTACTTGAAACGAACGAACCACATTTCGATTCATCTACTTAATCCCCAACATTGGAAGCTGAAACAAACTTACATGTAGAGACTATGTTGCATGACAGTGAAAGAAGTAATATCTTCTTCAAAAGCATGCACATCAGCTAACAGGTTCTTTTCTATATCCCAAATCTAAGGACAACAACATTCCTTTTGTTAAAAACTAAGCCATGCACTCATCAAACATTGGGAAAATCTCAGAGATTATAAGCATAGTCGATCAAACTTGCCTCAATATGGTTCTTGGAATTCACATTTACAAGTATGCCTTGGTTCTCCACAAACTGAACACAAATATCACCAAATAATATTACATGAAAATTACCACACACAAACAAAAACAGCTGGAAATTGAAGAAAGTACACATGATATTTTATACAGAACCTGTAAAAACTTGCTTGGTACTGCATTGACAGACTCAAGCAGAGCTTGAGTGTTATCTTTGCCAAATAATTTAATTCTGCCATCCCTGAGAGTGACAAAGATAAAAATGAACACTAAAAATTGGACATAACATGAAAACCAATGAGGCTATTTTGGTGCAAGAAATAAATTATGAGAACTCACTTGGACGAAACTGCAAGTATTTTTTGAATGGGATCATAAGCCAACATGTTACACCCCGATGGGATCCCATAATGAAATAATAGACGTGGGTCTATATCACCGCCTTTGAGACCATCGGAATTTCCACCAGGCTACAAATTAAATTGAAAAAAATGTATGTAAATTCTAAAATTGCCTTTAAAAATTAAAACCCAATAATAATAATAATTTAAAATAAAAAAATAGTTTACAACTGCATTAGTAAAGTGAAGTTTGACCACAGATTAAGGCCATTGACTCTTTGACCAAGGGTAATTGACCTGCTTGCTCGTGGGCTTGTAAGGGAACCTATCACATGACACGTACGAGCCCATCACATGACACGTAGTTCATGTTGAGATTTTAAAATGGGCCCACAAAATCTGATTGTAGATAAACAAACATTTGATCCACCGCCCATCACATGGATAGCTTTCTCTCTTTATTGTCTTTACAAATATTAACTTTTCTTTTGTTTGCCATGAGTTGACTATAAATCCAATATAAGATCCAAATTATACAATAAGATTGATGCTTTTGGTTGTTAATAGCATTCATTCATGGAAGGTGGGAGTGCGTCAGCGATCTTTCACATTTTCAATTGGCATGCACCAAATACATTAGAACACAAATTTAGGGCATGCCCGGCATCGAATTAAAAACTCGTTATAGAAATGTTTTCTAGAAAAGCACCTAATAAATGTTTTTTCAGAACTATTATACAGAGAATATGTTAACGGGTCTTTTAAGGTTAAGATGGGTTTTCTTTCTTCGATGGTGATACGTGGCAGCTATTTATATGGAGGTGGGGGTGTTAATCCCTTTAATAAAGTTTAAAAGGAGGTCTAATAAAACTTGAGACATACATTTAGTTAAAACCAATTTAAAGCTAAGCTTTGTGAGGTCACATCCCCTTGCAAGATGGAGAATGAGTCAAAAGAAAGGAGGAAGGATAGCAAGACAAGTAAACCCAATTAGATAAATTAATACCAAATTAAAGGAGACAAGACAAGACCCAAGAGACGATACTAAAGTTCAAAGCTATAACACTAATCAAAATTTTCTTATAAATTCTTTTATGAAAACATTGGCTTGTTTCTTATCCAACCGCCCGCCTCAAGGCCCCATCCATCCGTTAAACGCGTTTCTTTCTTAATATTGACTCGTGTTAAAGAAAAATATTGCTATATTTTGGTGTCATTGTCCCTTTCTTCTTTTCTTTCTTTTACGAGTTTCTCACACACGCATATTACTAAAGTGTTATAGGACTCGAACCTAATACCTATGGTCTACAAATCAATGCATACCCCATTGGCATTGTCCCTCTCTTCTTGCCTCTCTTGAAATAAAAAGAGTAATCCAATAACACCGACATATGGAAGTTTTTCTCATACTAAATGAATGAAGTAACGCATCACTATATTAAACAAATACAACTTAAAATTTAGTAACATTCTCATCTACCAAACAGACAACTATACCATCATGTCACGTTCCTGATATGATTAAGCATTGTCCATATCAAGCAAATGCAAACAAAAACCCAATCCCCTAATTTCATGTTCGTAACGCAACCAAATAATATTTTATTTATTTTTCATCCCATTTTTATTACTGTTGTCATCAAAATAATCTACAAAATATGTATATTATTATGTATGTCAGGTTAATAATTTTGAACGGCTAAAGGATACAACATATATGATATCAAACAACTTTATTTGCAGATCCCCTGACAATTATTATCTTAATGACAGATTTAATTCGTTATTAATTCTAGCTTTTGAGTACCCTTCTCTGTTTTTTTTCACAAGAACAAGAAGAACAAGGGGGAGGAGGAGGAGAACAGTGGATCAAATTCAAAAGCATGGACTGATCTCATTGAATTGATATTGAACCATGTTCTTAAAGAAACAGAGAGATTGATTGCTGGGTTGAAAATTCATTGAAGGTTAAGAGGAAAAGAACATCACTTGCCTTTTTGGAAGCCTTCTCCACAAGCTTTCTGACAAACATTGATGATGGTGATGAAGAAGAAGATCTGGCCTATGCTCTGCGGTTTTCAGAATCTGAGAGACCACCAAAAAAAACCCAACTCCTGAGATGGAGACAAAGACGACCTGAGAAAGCCAAAGTTCTCTGCTTTGAAACAACCGACGACAGAGACCAGAGAGAGAAGAAGAGAGGAGGAGAAGAGAGTGAAGTGAAAACTTTGAAATGAGCCGTTGATCGCAGTTTTTCAATTTTTATGTTGGAAGAGGAGTGGGACAAGATTAGCGGTTTCTCAAGGACAAAATAAAATGTTGGTTCGGATCAAAGGACGGTGACACGTGGAGGCTGATTAGGTGACCCGAACCATTAATTGCTAATTTCCTAAGAAGGAAAATATGTTTGACGTCCTTGACCCTTGACTTCGCTTTCACTTACTGACTCACCCACCCACCCTCTTTGCAAGGGCAAAGGCCAAAACTACAGATTGTTTCACAAAATGACAGAATTGACCTTCCTCCTGGGACAGAGCTTAATCAGAGAGCACACGTGGACATGTGGCAGGATATAATGTCAAACTGGGACCCACATACCTGGTCCTGCCAATCGATGTTACCGAGCTACGTGGCCAATCAAAAGAAGCTTACTAAATAAAATAAAATAATTTCAAATATATATATATATGTATCAAACTCTTGTGACACTTGTCTCCTGAAGAAAAATGCTTCTGTGTATTAAATTGAAGTTCCTCAATCAAGACAAGTTTACAAACACAATACAAGAAGAAAATCAAAGACAACAAACTGAGCTGTGTTTTTGCCTTAGAAGGCAACCAAATGGAACTATCAGTATTACATAGAAACAAACAACAACAACTACTCTTACTCTTGTGAAGACAACTTCTTGCTGTCAATTGCTTCCTTGAGTTTAGTCCCCAATGCATAGGCCAAAGTAGGAGGAACAGCATTTCCAATCTGCCTATGCTTGTGAAGAATTGTGCCCGAAAACTGGTAGCTATCCGCAAAACCTTGAGATCGGGCGCATTCCCGAACAGTTAGAATCCTGTCCTGGTCAGGGTGAAAGCACATTCCCACCTTCCCCATTGGCTGAGGATCTGTAATGGAAGTTGGGAAGTTGCCTTCCCAATCCAACCTTCCAAACAGGCCCTTCCACTGATTGTGGCGCTTGGCTGTGTTGGGCAGGCACCATGGTATCAAGTCAACTATCTGTCCAGTAGAGAGCTTCACCTTTTCATCTGGAAGGCATTGCCAATCAGCACCTGGCCGCTTTGGAATTCTCTGGCATCGAATCAGATTCAGCTCATTCATTTCTTTCGAAATGTGATCAGTCAAAACAGCCATCTCCCCTCGGATTTTCTTCTGGAACCATGAGATGGGATCGCTTTCATACTCTAAGTTCACCTTGGATGCTCCATTCCCTACGGCCGGGAGATCACCGATTGTATCTCTTACAGTTATTGAACGGAAAGGGGCTCCACTTGCAGTACTACGAACAGCAGCATATTGTGAATTGTCTGATAATGTGATCTTCAACTCTGGTACGCCAAAGACATGCATTGGCTCTGGCCATTCAGGGAGAATCTCTCCTGGGGCAGCTGCCCATATAAATGCTCGCTTTCGTGACTGGGAAACTCCATAAGCTCCAGCTTCCAGAATACCAAACCTCACCTGATAACCCATCTCAAGAAGTGAAGCCAGAGTCAGACGGAATGTCTGTCCTTTATTGAAAGACACAAAGTTCCTCACATTCTCTAAGAGGAAATACTTTGGCCGGAAGTAGTCGGCAAAGGATAAGAATGCCAAAATCATTTCACACTGAACTTTACTCCAAGTGCTTTGGTTGAACCTATTCATTCCAGAGAAACCCTGGCATGGAGGTCCTCCATTGATGAAATCTACCTGCCCCGGCAACGGCAAATCATTTTTAACCTTCTCATCAAGTGATGCAGCCAATTCAGCAGCCTCAGAAGTTGCAATACAATCATCTGTGTCCCCACATTTTTCCATTACGGCCCTTAAGATCACATTGCAGTTATTGATAAAAACCAATGACTCAGGATGGTTGAGTTTGAAAGCATCCCCAGCAGGCTCTTCATACTCAATTGCCCACTTGGTTATTGAAGCACCAGACTGACGCAACCCATCAGACAAGCCACCGCAACCAGCAAATATATCCAATGTGGCTAGGCGTTTCTGCTCAGAATCAGCTCTCTGGTTCTCAACTTCTGAAACATTTTCTCCTTCTTTGCACTTGCCCTTTCTCTTTCTAGAATCAGCATCACCACCTCCTGTTGAGTACCTCAGTTTGATGTGAGCTGGCAATTGCTTAATAGACCCTTTAGAAGGATCATATAGATGTTCACAGAAGAAAATATGCTGGAAAATGACAGGAGCATTACATACTGGAAGATCACTCTTCTTTCTGACTTCACATTTTCTTTCTATATTATCAACAGACACGATGTGTGTTTCTTCACTGTAGTAGACCTCTCTAATATCCGAACTGTATGCCTTCTCAACAGATATGTCCTCTGGTCTGAAAAATCTTCTTACTTTAACCTGGGTAGATTCTATTTCAGGTCGTTTAGATTCCTTCATAACAACTATCTCCAGCACTTGGCACACGACATAAGCTTTCAGCCCCAAATTCCTTCCAGCCTTGAAAATTTCAGTTTCCATCCTTTCCACACCAAAATAATGGGGACTTACATAGACATAATCATGAACTGAGTACTCAACTCCCCTGTATACAAAACCAGTTTTTGATGAATTTACTTTAAATACTTCCTTGGCCTCCTCGGCTTCATTCATTTTGCAAGAGTGGCAGGCACCAGAACCCAGACCCATAGTATCACGTGAAAGACTAAGGAAAGCACCTCTCTCTGGGCAATACAAGCTTTTACAGTAATATTCAGTCGGCAAACCCTTCCTCTTCCTCTCTTCTGCCCTTGTTCTATCAGTTCTGTTAGCATCAGCATTATCCTTCCTATACTGATGCCCCCACGGCATTAGTTTAATGTCCACAACAGCTGCCTGTTTAACTTCCTTTAATGCCAAATTTGTGCACTCATTTGTCAAAAATACCTCCCTCTCATTGGCAGTGTTGCCAAGAACAGTCTGAGATCCTCGCTCCATCACTCTTCCATGAAACATTTTGCTTCCATTCAATGTTTCATACATATACTCCACAAAATAAATGGCAGGAAGTTCATTGGATTCATCAAGTTCCACCAAAACAGCACCGCCAACAGAAATTTCTTCTCCCCAAAGAATGGCACGCTTATAAAGAGCTTCACCAGAACATGTTTGGCCCACTGGCTCCCCTT